TACTCTTTGGGGTTTTTCTGAGTGTGTATCTTGTCACCTTGAGCAGGAATGTGCTCACCGTCCTGGCCATCAGCTCTGACCCTTACCTCCAAACACCCATGTACTTCTTTGTGGCCAACCTGTCCTCAGTGGACCTGGGTTGGATTTCGTCCACAGTTACCAAGATGCTGGTGAAATGTACAGTCTCAGCATGACAGCATCTCCTATACCAGCTGCCTTACATGAATGTATTCCTCCCTGATGTTCGGGGGATCTGGACACCTTCCCCCTGGCTGTCATGGCATACAATGGCTAGGTGGCCATTTGCCACCCTCTCCACTCCTCTACAGCCAGGAGCCCCCCAGGTGTGTGTCCCGCTGCTTGCATTGTGTTGGGCTGACTCACACGCTCCTCGTGGCTCAGCTCTCCCTCTGCATGGTGGGGGAAGGTGCTCGCTTTTTCTGTGACATAGCTCCTGTCCTGCAGCTGTCGCGTTCTGACACTCACATCAACGAGATGGTGGGGGTTTGTGCCATGGGAGGCACAGTATTCATTGTCCCCTTCGCATGCATTGTTCTCTCCTACATCGTCATTGTGTCTGCCGTCCTGAGGGCCCCCAACCCTGGTGGGGTACCTAAGGCCTTCTCCACCTGCCGCTCCCACCTCTGTGCTTGTCCATGTGTTTTATGGCACGCTCTTTATCATCCACTCCTCTTGTGTGTGAGTTGTCTGTTTGCCATCTCCCCACCTATTCCAGTTCCTCCACTAGGTGTCCTCCTTCATCCCGACAGAGCCGGTCTGCAGCACTTTAGTGCCTACCTGTGCTCTCTATCTGTCGCCTCTGCTGAAAAGGACATTATTACAGCAGTAATATATATAGCACTGAACCTGTTTATCTATAGCCTAAGGAACAAGGACATGAAGTGGACACTAATGAGACTCTTCAGTCACAGCAGAGATTTTTCCTCTTAGATATAGAAACAGCAATAGTGAATGAAAAGGCACTGTCCTGGAATCAGTCAAATGGACTTCGGTTTAGGGTCTGGTATGCAACAGTTATAAGCCTGTCTTTAGTCACTTACCCTATCTGAACTTTTGTTTTCTTGTCTAAAAAAGCAGAGATATTATTTTCCTTTGTATCATTCCTTCCGTCTTTCCTTGAGATCACTTCTCCCCTCTCCCTCTCTCCTTCTCCCCGCCCCGCCCCTCTCTCAGGCTGGTCCTGGAGCTTGAACTCATGGCCCAGGCACTGTCCCTAAGTTTCTTTTTGCTCAAGGCCAACACTGTACCACTTGAGCCACAGTTCTACTTCCTTTCAGCTTTGGATGCTTTATTGGAGATAAGAGTCTCACAGAGTTTCCTGCCCCAGCTAGCTTCAAACCATGTTCCTCCCCAGCTCTCAACCTCCTGAATAGGTAGAGTTACAGGCATGAGCTACTGGTGCCTGGCTTATTTTTTTCTCTTGATCTCTGTCGCTGTCTGTATTTCTTTCTTTCTTTTTTATTTGGAGACAAGGTCCCACTACTTAGCCCAGGTTGTCCAAGAACTTGTGATCCTCCCACTTCAGCATCTTGAGGGATGTGATTATAGATATATGCCACCACACCCAGTTCAATAGTTTAAATCTGTAGTGTACAAGTTTTGTTCCATTATATTAATATTTTTCCTCTATTGACTATGAGCCCCTAAAGTCCCTGAGTTACTGGCCTTTAATTTGATTAATTGCTTTTTTTATTTTGTTTTGTTTTGGGGGGAGCAGGGCCTTGCTTTGTCAACCCAGGCTGGCCATGAGCTAATTTTTCTCCAGCTTCTGGATTCCAAGTGTTGGGATTTTCCACCTGCTCAGATGACCCGTAATTTTCATCTGCCTTTTGAACTGAGAGAAAAACTCCCTCTGTTTCTCATGATCATCTTTTTCAGGAAATGGTTCATGTTTCAGAGTTCGAAAGTCCTCTGAGGACACCATTAGTGAGCCTGAGAGAGGCTAAGATGTATGATGACCACATACAGCCTCACTCTGTTCCCACAGCCTGTATCTCCTCTGGCATCACAGACAGCCGCTCAGGATGCCTCAGCCAGCCCCACCTGCAGTGAGAAAACAAAAACGGTGTTTTTTCCTAGGAGTCCTTCTGGCTTCTGGCTCCATTGCTATTCTCAGAGACTCTCCATCTACACATTGTGCAGTACATGTCAGAATGCTTTTTAAATGGATTTGTCATTTCTCACTCTCTGTAAACAAAGTAGATGTGCCGAGTACCCACTTTGGCTCTCCTTATGTAACTCGGAGGCAGTTAGGAGTTGAGTCAGCTTCAAAGGCTTATCAGGGGTCACTGTTGCCTATCACCATTCAACATTCTAACACCCAGCCAAAGTAGTTAGATCATAGTCAAAGTTCCATTTGTAGTCCTTCCTCCATGCGTTCCATTATGTTTATCTCTGATTCCCAATAAGGTTACATAATACAAAAGAAGGACAGTGGGATGTTTTATTTATTTATTTACTCATTCATTCACACACTGGCCTTTGCACTCAGGGACTGGAACTTGCTAGACAAACACCCTACCACTCCAGACATGCCTCCTGCCCTTTGCTTTAATTATTTTTCAGATAGAGTCTTGCACTTTCTGCCCATGCTGGCCTCAGATCATAACCCTCCTGTACTTATGCCTCTGGTATAAACAAAATTACAGCAGAAGCCACCACACATTTAAATAATATATATTAGCATTCAGATTGCTTATAAATCTTTGTACCTTGATGGTTTAGTGTGACTTTATTAGGGATCAGAGGTAGGTAATGAACGTCTTCTTGGCCCCTTGCCTCTTCCGGATATTCTAGCTCCTCTACCTTGGAATCCTTTTTGAAAAAGCAGATGACCTGCAACTTGTTCCTTCTCTTTCCTAAACTTGTTAAATTTACAGCTGTCCAGCCATCCATCCTGTTCTTAAGTATCTGCCTTCAGGGCCAGAAATAAAAACATATCTTCTTCCTGCTTCCCACCAATTATCAAGATCAGTCTAGTGTACCTTCAATGTAATCTCTTCTCCATCCTCATGCCATGATGATCACTCAGACACACACCAGCTGTTACCTGGATTTACAACACACTTCCAACTGAATTCCCTGACTTAAGTCTCTCAACTGAGAGACTATCTCCCAACTATCTCTTGCATTGAGAATCATTACCCGAGAAATCAGTTCTCAAACACAAGTCCAATCTTTCCCATTTTCTCCTAATTCAACACACTCCCAAAGAATGACACCAAGTCACTTGTAGGGAAAATTCTAAACTGCTAACATATTATTCCTATACAATGTAATCCTTGACTCTTTACCTAGATTAATTTAGTTGATGTTTCCTTGATTCATATATACTTGTACTTGGAAAACACCTAATTCTTTTTACTTGCTAGAAATATTTTTATTTTGAGGTAGGTGCCAGTTGCTTATGTCTATAATTCCAGTTATTGGAGAGGTAGAGATTGGGAGGGTCACAGTTTGAGGCCAGACTAGATAAAGGTTAGTAAGACCTTGTTTTAACCAATAGACAAATGTACGCATGTGCCTAATACCCTAGTTATAAGGGAAGCATAAATAGGAGGAAGGAGGTTCAGACATGAACATGAGACTTTGTCCCTAAAATAACCAAAGCAAAAAGGGCTGGGGCATAACTCAGTAGTAAAGTGCTTGCCTACAAAGCATGGGGCACTGAATTCAATCTCCAGGACCACCAAAGACAGACAGACGGGGCGGGGAGGGGAAAATATAAGCAGGGCCTCACTAAAATATTTCCAAGATGTTTATCTCATTTCTATTTGGTGAGATTAATGGTGTTTTTCCCCTGTCCTGGGGCTTGAACTAAGGGACTGAGTGTTGTCCTTGAGCTTCTTTTGCTCAAGTCTAGTGCTTTTCCACTTAGCCATAACACCATTTCTGGCTTTTTCTGAGTAGTTTATTGGAGATAAGTCTCACAGAAGTCCTATCCAAGCTAGCTTTGAACCTCAATCCTCAAATCTCATCCTCCTGAGCAGCTGGGATTACAGGTGTGAGCCACTGATGCCCAGCTGCAGTGGGCTAACACCTAATTTTTACAATATTTCCTGAATATGATATGCTATTTTCATGCTCTCTGTCCCTCCTGCCTAGACTGTCATGTGTCCTTTTGTGTATCAATCCTGAGCATTCTTCCAAATGTAAAGAATCACTGTATAAAGCGATTTCTAGTTTGCCAGAAAGCTCTATCTTCATTTGGAACAGTAGCTATGTCTAACTTTGGGCTACAATCAAATAAATATGTCATTTCTGCTATGTCTCAACTTCTTTGACTCTAAAATAGGAGCTAATAACGGTGCCTGCATAAGAGATAATACAGTTAGGGCTTTTGATACACTGCTCGACACACAGTAGCCATGTATAACAAGCACAATTATTTGTGGTGTTGTTATCTTAAGGCACTTTTTTGTATGCTTACATGTCTTCAGTCAGTCTCTCTCAACATTCCTACATGAACACTTCTTTACTAGGAGATTGTGTCTTTTTTATTCCATATATGATCAGGAGAGACTGCCTGGCATACAGCAGGTACTGTGTTAAATAGCTACTGTGGGTTGGAGGTGAGGACAATAAGTGCTATATCTTATAAATTTTGATTTCTACAAGCTTCCTATTTCAAGGGTAGTCTGTACCCAACATCTTTGCACAATTAATAAGAACAAATGTATTTCCGGGAAATTAAACCTCTATTAAGTACGCAATTACAAAATTAATAGACTCATTAATCAAGATATATTACATCCATAAACTCCTCTGTACAACTACATAAAATTATGATGATGATGAACTAAAACAGTCTAACAGGCAAGAAAAATAACCGATAATGTGAACACACAATCACAATGTACCCAAAAGTTGTGCTGAAAATGGAGAATAAGCAAAACAAAACTGCAATTCACTGCATAACATACCAGCAGAGCGGTTAGCCTTTAAATGTGAGTCCATGTGTTCATTATAAAAAGAAAAGGTCATTGAGATGTGATTTTCACCCTGTTCATAAGCTTTTCCAGGGCCCCTTTCATGTCTCTGTTCCTCAGGCTATAAATGAAGGGGTTGAGCAATGGGGTGACTACCGTGTACATCACAGAAGCAACTATGTCTTTGACATGGGCGGCACCAGACGAGGGGATAAAATAAACTCCTATAATCGTGCCATAATATAAAGACACCACGGAGAGATGGGAGCCGCAGGTGGACAAGGCTTTCCAGATTCCTTTGGTGGACGGGATTTTCAGGATGGTGGCCCCAATGCATCCATAAGAGATCAGGGTGCATGAGAGTGGAATAGTAATGACAGCCAATCCAACTGTGAAAATGACCAGCTCGTTGAGGGAGGTGTCTGAACACGAGAGCTTGAGCAAGGCGGCAAGGTCACAGAAGAAATGGGGAATCATGTTGTCAGCACAAAAGGAGAGCCTGGCCAAGAGGAGGGTGTGAGACAAGGCACTGGCACAAGACAGGACCCAGGACACAGCTACTAGTAATGTGCACAGCTCCTCTTTCATGATGGTGGTGTAGTGCAGGGGGTGACAGATGGCCACATACCGGTCATACGCCATTGAAGTGAGGAGAAAATTGTCCATGTCGGTGAAAAGTATGAAAAAATACATCTGTGTTATGCATCCTGAGTAGGAGATGGATCGATCCTGAGTTTGCATGCTCCTCAGCATATTTGGAATAGTGACAGATGAAAAGGAGATGTCGGTGAAAGCCAAGTGGCTGAGGAAGAAGTACATGGGGGTGTGGAGGCGGGAGTCCAGCCTGATGAGCAGGATGATGAGCAGGTTCCCCAGCACGGTGGTCAGGTACATGGCCAGGAATAGAGCAAAGAACATGCCCTGCTGTGCTGGCTGGATGGGGAGCCCCAGGAGGAGAAACTCCAATCCAGTGCTCTGGTTCTCCCCTGGCATCCTCCTCTTCTTCCTGTTAAGCATTGAAAGACGTGGAAGAAGTCAGAAATAAACCAATGTGGATTTACAGTAGCCATATAAAATTAAAGCTCTTATTATTTACCATAGCTAAGATATGGAACCAACCCAGATGCCCCTCAGTAGATGAATGGATCAAGAAAATGTGGTATATATACACAATGGAATTCTATGCCTCCATCAGAAAGAATGACATTGCCCCATTTGTTAGGAAATGGAAAAACTTGGAAAAAATTATATTAAGTGAAGTAAGCCAGGCCCAAAGAAACATAGGTCCCATGGTTTCCCTTATTTGCAATATCTAGTATATGTATGAGTCAAGCAAAAAAGGCAAAAAAGGTGATGTTAGGGAAATGGAACCCTAAGATATGTATTTTAATGTTTTTTTCTTTCATGCATTTGTTTCTAATGCATTAAAAAAATAATTCCTTGTTGCTTTGTATGTCCCTCCCCCACAGTATAACCCCTGCTTTCACTATATTTGATGTAGTATAACTTGTGGAGGAGATGGGGAAAAACAAGTCATTTAAGGATACAGGTGGACCTGTTTCAACAATGAGAAGTACAAGTTGTCATGTCGAAAACAGAGCTTTACAACATTGGTGCGGGGCAGGGGGGGGGAGGATTGAGGGGAGGCTGGGAAAGGATGTGAAGGGTAAACAAAGGAGGAGGCTGCAATGCTTGATAAGAAATGTACGCATTATCCTGCCCATGTAATTGTAACCCCTCTGTACAGTATGTTCGCAAAATAAAAGGGGACAAAATTAAAGCTCTTTCTGTTGGTGATTGTTGATCATGTCTGTCTGCATTACCATATTCCTACAAAAAAATCTTTTGAAGTGCACTGTATATAAAATCATTTACCAATAGAGATGAGATTTGGATGTGCAAGAGAATATAACGCTCTTGTGTTTTTCACCATGTAGAGGAAGGACAATAGAAACAAAGTTACAATGTGCAGCCATCTGTAGTCAGTAGGGAAAAAGGGTTCCGGGTCTTAGCTTGTCTTGGCAGAGGTAATGGTGGGAAGCATATTAAAAGCATCCAGTTTCTATTCTCCTTCTGTGCTTTAAACAATAACATTATCTGTCTTTCTTCTGCCTGGCTTGTGTTTCCAGTGCGTCTCTGCTCATTTAAGCATATTGATGCTTCTCAGGTCGAACCTAAAGATAGAACCTTGTATCTGATGGTAGTGTGGTTTACTGAGAATCACATTGCAGTTGAGAACAGATTTGAATTCTGGAAACATCAGTTTATATTTGTGAGTTCTGGATCAACTACCTGGTCTGGGCCCCTGTTTCCTAAACTTGAGAAAAGACTATGACTCTGAGTTGTAAGAATATTCTGAATACTAATATAATAAAATTTAGGAAACACAAATAACAAAAATTGGAAACAATATGTTGGTTTTAAACCCTCCAGTTCATGAAGACCATTTCTTCCTCATGATTGCAGAGGGCAGTCATGAAGAAGAAATAGCTCAAATGCACAGGCCACAAAGCTACTTCCTTATCAGATTAGAACTGGAATGAGCTCATTATCAGAGTCTGATCATATCCCACAAATTAGAGAATGATAACTCTGATGCTCCAGTGTTTTGAACTCCTCCCTCTCTTTTTCCATCTTCAGCTTTGCCTCAGAATCTAATGAGGAGTTGCAATATGAATGCTGCAGTAAGAAATGGACCAAACTACGTATAGTAAACAAGCACACATTCTGATGAATTAGGACTATCTGCTTGGATTAGGAATGTGTCCATTACTTTTATGTAGGCATTCGGTTCCATTCATCTTCCTAAGTCTTTGGATTAAAGGCATGACAGTTATTGGTGAGTGGTGATTGCTCTTTTTCTGCCTTTATGAGTTGATAAGAAAGACGTCAGCAAGAGCCCAGCTATGTTGGACATCCACACAGACACCCCCTACACACACACACACACACACACACACAGAATTTCTAGTAAAGAATATTCTGCTCAGAAGTGTATAGCCAGATTATACAGCTCCCAGGAATATGTCTGAATGGCTCAAGTTGACTCTACAAGAATCAGATTTAGTGCACAACTCCTGTTTGTCTTTGATCTTTTGTTCACAGCAAAGAGAAAGGTCATGAACTTACTTGAAGCTTGCTCTTCTCAAGCCACCACACTTCAGAAGTGGAAATGTGACGACTCCACTCCATACGTTTGGGTGAGGTCCCAATGGAGCAGGACACCAAGCTACTGATTGGGGACATTCATTAAATGTGCATTTTTCCCTGTACTCCCTCTAGGACACATGCCCTTTGGGCAGTGGTCCCTAAACTTGGATGTTCAGCAGAATTACCTGGGGATCTTGTTAAAGATGCGGATCCCAGCTCCACCTCCAGAGATGTTCATTCATGAAATTTGAGGCCAAGTGACATCTAGGCAATTATTCCGAAGGGAAGACTTGGAGAGGTCTCTGTCATTAGGAAGATTAATAGGACCCACACCTGTGGATATGAGCCCAAAAGGAGATGGGGAAAGATCTCCCACCCTCCATATTCAGGTTTATTTTGGTTAGGTCATCGTTTGGAATGTGCACAGGGATTTTTCTCAAAAATGAAATGGACTTTAGGTGTGCTGTTTACAATATAAATTCTCTTCATGAATGAAAACCAAATAATAGAGACATGGAAACAACAAAAAAGGTCAAAATAATCCCCCTGTACATTTCTTGCCTTTTTAATGCTGCCCAAAACTTCTTTTCTATTAATAATCATAGGGATAGTAGGGGAAAAACAAGAGGAGACAACAATCCTTGATAAGAAATGTACTCATGGGCTGGGAAGGTGGCTGAGTGGTAGAGCACTTTCCTTGCATGCATTAGGCCCTGGGTTTGATTCCTCAGCACCACATAAGCAAAAAGAAAAAAGCCGGAAGTGGGGCTGTGGCTCAAGTGGTAGAGCGCTAGCCTTGAGCTGAAGAGCTGAGGTACAGTGCCCAGGCCCAGAGTTCAGGCCCCACGACCGGACCCCAAAAAAAAAAAAAAAAGAAAAGAAAAAGAAATGTACTCATTACCTTGCTCATGTAACTGTAATCTTTCTGTACAGTATTTTCACAATAAAAAACGTACTAAGAATAATAAAAATAATAATCATATGTCTACATAGACAGGATTTTTATAATATTTTACAGCTTCATTTTATTCATTGTGATCACCTTTCCATTTCAATATCTATACATATCACTATATTTAAAGCATAATTAAATATTTGAGTCATTTTCTTCTTCAGCTAATACAGTTTCCTGGTGAAATGTTATCAAAAAGACTCTATGAGGTCTTAAAAGTCACTCATTGTGTCTAATCAAGGATACTTTAAAAACCATCAATTTTAATGGAGTTCTCTCTTTTGATACTTCAGAACCTGTGGTTTGCTTTTTTGAAAGGACAAAAATTGATATGAAATACATGAACAATAGAAGTCCAAGTTGAAGAGTATAGGAGGAGTAATGGGAAATATCCCAATTGTTTTCACTGTATTTGTCTGTCATGGGGCTTGAACTCAGGGCCTGGGTGCTGTTCTTGAGCTTTTTCCCCTCAAGGCTAGCATTCTACCACTTTGAGCCACAACACCACTTCCAGTTTTCTGGTGGTTAATAGGAGATAAGAGTCTTCCAGGGACTTTTCTGCCTGAACTGGCTTCAAACCACGATCCTCAGATCTCAGCCTCCTGAGTAGCTAGGATTGCAGGTGTGAGCCACCAATGCCCAGCTAAATATATATATATATATATATATA